GTATGAGTCCACTGATGCGAGGTACTTGGAGAGTCAATGTCAGACTGAAAGGAGAACAGTGGTTGCCCCGGGCTGCGAGAGGAAAGAAGGAGGCCTTAGAGTTTAAAGGGTACAGAGTTTCAGCTCGAGAAGATGGAAAAGATCTGGAGACGGATGGTGGCAATGGCTGCACAACGATGCGAACGTACTTAAGGCCACAGAACTGGACACTTAAAAACAGTTAAAGTGGTAAATTTAAAATTAAAAAAACAAAGTGGCAAATTTAATGTTATGTGTATTATATCACAATGAAAAGGAAAGAAACCCTAAGAAGTGTAACATACTGGAGAAAACTTTCTTTTTGCTGCTAGGGGAACTTGTAAAGTCCATAGTGAGAGTCATGGTGTGACAGTCTAAAAGCAGACAGAGCACAATAGCAGCAGCACTCCAATGTCACTGTCATCTCCACCTGGTCTTACTTGTGGGGACTGGCAAAGTTCAGAGCGCAAAATCTGGCCTGACATCTGCCCTAGCTCTATGCGACCTCAAAGGACTTATCAGTTAAGAGCGTGCACCTTCACTCACAGGGGAAAGCCTATCACAGGGAATGCAGCCCCATTTAGGGAATTATCCTCCCATCTTTTCCCACTAAATCTGGCATTTTTGTGAAAACTTCTGTCCTTGGCACAGGGATGGCAGCAACATTGAACAGATATATTAAGTCTGTACACATCATGATCTATTTTGACCATGGAGAGGATGATGATGGCAATGGTGATGGGGGCGGGTGACAGCACCCTGGGCTAGGAGAGCAGGTGCTGGTGCTGACACTAGCCCTGGGCTTCATTCACTTTCCACACCACCACCTGTCAGCCAACCCAGTGAATGAGACAAATGGTTTCAACAAATCTTGAGCATGGGAGTAGACAGGAGCCTTTCAAGAGGTCCCTTCCGCATCATGGCATGAAAGTGGAACTCACATAGGATGAGGTTCATTGGTTAAGCAAATTTTACAGAGATGTTATAGGAGCACTGGCAATAGACTTTTATTTAACAGGAACTTACACAAATTTGATACAAACCCTACAGTACGCAAAGCTTTACCACAATTCTATACGTTATAATTTGTGGAGTTGGAGAGCAGATTGTTATTATAATAATTAGCATTTTGACAAAGGATGTTTTCTATCAGAAAACATCACAGAAAGGGCTAGAAAATGACACAGACACTCTCAGTGATGCCCCAACCCCAGGACTGGCCCTGAATGGGAAACTGGGACAACTGGCAGGAAATCTCTGCCTACCCCCTTTCCCCTTGCAGAGGCAAATGAGAGTCTCAGGTTTGGGACCATTTCAGTAACACTGTGACTCCAGGACCTTTGCTGATCAGAATAGCCAACATTAGACTGTATGTATATTATTATGACTCTGCTTGCAAGGACAGAAACCCCAAAAGCATGGATGTGTAAAAGCCCAGCCAGTGGGGAGCCTGGGGGAGAACCCAGCTGCCCAGCCCGGCGGCCACACCCCTTTGCTAGGTCACCAACACAGTGCTGAGTTACACTCCACCAGCCATAATGCCCATTTCCTCCAGCAGGGCCACAAAAGGGCCGTGCTGCAACACTCGCCTTCCTCCTTGGCCCCTACCAGCAGCCTGTCATTCAGGTTGGCCTTCCTAGCCCCTGGGGACATCCCAAGAATCTCAGGCTCCCCAGGCCAGCTCAGCAAAACCCCCCTTTGCCAATCTCCTCTGGAAGCTGTAAGATACTGAACTATGATAATACCATCTCCTTTTTGCTGGGTTTTTTTTCTCACTACATTATTTTAGACAAATCTGTGTTCAAATCTGTAGCACTTGAGGAGATGTTTTCCATCACTAGAAGGAATCCCTTTCTGACATGGCACCGCCAGGCATGATATCCAGGAGGCAGGCTGCTTCTCCACACTCAGATAGAAGGGGCTTGCCTGCAGTGAGGGGCAGTGGGGATGGGGTCACTGCTGATTTGTGGCTAATTTAGTCCAATCGAGTCAGCGCACATCGTTTAACATCATCAACACTTTCCAAAGAACTTTTGAAGAAGGACAAAGAAAAACTGATCCCTACTCACTTACCACTTACAACTCGCAGAAATAAAAATACCTAGAGCACATACATGAATGGCTTTTTCAAAAGCCTGAGAGAGCAGAGTTGATCTTTATTTCTTATTAAAAATGTGGGGTATTTTTCCTTAGAGTTAATACGCAGTCTTTATTCTACATTAAGTACTCTTTTGATTTCGTGTCTTCACAAAATTGCTTTTAGCTTTTGAAGTAGAAGATACTTTAAACAAAAATACTGTGCACTGTCAGCACTTTTTTCTTTTAAATATTGAAATAAATAAAATAGTTAATTCTTTTTGTTTGTTTGTTTGTCAGTTTGGTTGTGTTCAGTCATTTCTATTGTAGAGCAATTCCAGTCTGACCTGGTACTTTCTCACAGACACTCAAAGAAAACGTAATGAAGAATTTTAAAAAGGAAAAAAAAAATCTTCTTATTGCACAAACTTAGGCCATTCCCAAGACTTCTCTGAGCTGAGCTGTGCTGGAGGATTTTCCACTCCTGTGTTGGCTCCTGTGTTGACTGAAACACACACACAGGAGGGGCCGGGCAAGGGAAGAGGAAGAGAAGGAGGTGGAGGAGAAGGAGGTGCAAATCATCGAGGCTTCTTTTCACCTTCTTCAGAAATGGCTTGCTTGAAGGATGCCGCAGTTCCCAGGTCATAGAGTTGACTGCAGAGGGAAAGGCAATGAAAGATAAAACAAAAAACAACAGCACGAAATAACTACCTAAAAAAAGAAAGATTAAAATTAATGGGGCGGCAGAAATGAAATGAATTGAAAAGAAAAAAAAAAAAACCCAAAAAGAAAACCAGTAACTAATTGCCACGCTAAGGAGGCTATGACTATGCGCAGTGAAAACCAGGCTGGTGTCTCCAGTGCCTTGAACATCAGCAGCAGGAAGTCAGCCATGAACAGGGCAGGTCAGTGGCTACTGGGCAAGAGACAGAGAGAACACAGCTGGATTTTCAATTCCTAGGGGGTGTAGCAGGCAACTCTAGTGTTAGCAAAAAGTTTTTTCTTCTTCACTTGGAAACCAAACAAACTAAATCTTTTCATGACTAAAACAGCCCAGAAAGACCATTATGATGCAATCTGTCTGCCTGTCACCTAAGTGGAAATGGTAAAGGACCAGTTAAGCCACAGAAAACCCCAACTGATATCCACACTCCTTCACAAGCACACACCCTCACCTCCAGCCTGCCCCAAGCCAAGGGATGCATTCCACTTTTCCACAAGCCCAGTGATCCCAAGTGACAGCCTTAGAACCTGGTGGAAGTTCAAACCAGGTGGGTCTTTTAGCTTAATGGATACAAATCGGGCATAGATTTTGCTTCTAGCTGAAATAAATCTGCTAAGTTATTCTGGCCTTTGGAGTGGATTAGTTAGTACAAAGGAGTAACCAATAAAATCAAGCACTATCACATTTTACCCCAGAAGCGGTTCCTGAGGGCAGAGATGAGGGCCCCAGTAGTGCCCAGATCATACTGAGCTGAGAAGCCAGGAGGCAGAGCAGAAGCGAGGGACCTAAAGGGAAAAGGGCCAAGCCAGGGGATAAAGCTCAAAACCAAAGGAGCAGCTCAGCATCTTCCAAGTTGAAACTCCTTATCCTCCACTGCCCAGGTTTCCTGCTGGCACCTGAGGCATCCCAGGCCAGGCACATGGGCCTGGATTAGATGTACTGTCAAAGCCAAATCTCCATCCATCCACTTTCCTCTGTCCTCTCCCACCAAGTCCTCCCTCCACACTTGCTCCCAGTCCCTCCCCCATTCCATTCTGCCCCATCTCTCCTCTCTGATGGCTTTTCTGGGGCCCTGTCCCCGGCTGCCCCCACTTTCTCACGTTCCTCTGCTCCTTCCTGTTGCCTTAGCTCCTCCACTTTAGTGACAAAATCTGTGTGGTTGGTCCTCTGACCTCCCGCAGAGCACCTGCAATTCTCCTGTGGGCATCGGGCCTTGATTCTGTCCCTCTCCCAATTCCCTGACCCCACTGGTCTCAGTCACCCGCTATCTTCAGTGAGGGTCTCATCATCATACCCAATACCCTTTTAGTTTCCTCAAATTTCCACCCTTGACTCCCCCCTGCCCACACACACATGCGTTTCTTCTTTTCCCCATTTAAGCTACCTAGAAAATTGGTAGGGTAGTTCCCAACTCTGCACTCTTGCACTCCATCTGCTTTTGTTTCTCCCAGCAAGGCCAACTGCAGGCTGTGGGAAATGGCCTGCTGTGTTCTTGGGCTCCTGCTCTGGATCCCTGCAGGAGGCCTGGCTTTTTCCTTCCCTCCATGCACAGCCAGCTCTCCTCTACCTGGCCCTCACACCCTCACTTTCTTTCCTTCACTTCTCACCACCCACTCAGTGTCACCCGGCTCTCATCTGCTCCTTTGACCAATGATGCTGTGTCTGGAGATGACTTCTCCAACCTTATTTCCACAATACTTATTGAGCACCCACTATGTGTAGAGGAGATGTAGTAAGACTTCCACTAATTTCCTCAGTTCTCAGTTTATAACCCAAAATAATTACGGCACATTGGTGTTAGGTACTGTCCAAGGGACGTGAGTGATATCACCTTTGCCCTAAAGAAACACTCCACCTGTTTGAGGCGAAGGACTACAAACAATCATTAAGCACAACAGGAATGGCAGGAACAAAATGCTACAGAATCCTACTTAAGCATGTTTTCAAATTGTGATTTTTGCGATTTTACTTGGATCTGACTATGATTCCCAGCTTTGCTTTCTGTTCAATTCCTCCAGTCTCTCTGACAAGAGACTCTTGCCTGCAGATTAAATATCGATAGTCAATCTAGACTTGGTTGCTGATCTGGATGGCTTCCTCCAAGGAAAGCTCCCTGTCTACTGTGATCCACAGAAGAAATAATCACATACTACTCCATAACCGCTCCTATACATTTTAAATTATTTCTAAATATCCTGAGCTATTAGATCACAGATAAATCCACTGGCCGATAAATCCATTGGCCCCATTGTTAATTTCATCCTAGCCATCACAATGCTAAGCGTCATATATGCTGTTACTCAGTCCATAGTTACCAAATGAACAAAGGTACATCTGAACAGAAATATTATAGCCCAAGGGCTACAAACCAGCCTGAAATACCAAATGTCTGAGCCACGAATAATGGGACAAATCTATCCTATACCTCCTGATATAAAACACTGTGAAGGATAAAACATCATTTCTACAGTGTTCTTACCCAAAATGCATAACCTCATTTTAATCATCAGAAAACAGCACATGAACCTAAAGTGAACAGCTGTCACTGAAATGACTAGTCAGACACTCTTCAAAAGTATGAAGGTCACGAAAAACTGGCAGATGACTATGAACTATTACAGATTAAAGGATTCATGAGGATATGGCGACTAAATGTAACATGCGGGCCTGGACTGGATTGCAGACCAGAGGAAGGTCTTTAGTGAAACAGCTGGCAGAATTTGAGTAAGGTCTATAGATCATGGTATTGAACCTGTGTTAACTTCCTGATGGTAGTAATCATACTGTGGTTATTTGGAGAAGCTGAGTAAAGAATAGTTGGGAATTCCAGCTATTATTATTTTTGTAAGTTTTTGCAAGTATAAAACTATTTCAAAATTTAAAAAAAAATTTTTTAAGTCTTACTTCATCAGATGAAAGCCAGTGGGGAGATACTTTGAAAACCTAATTGCCAATGAATGTTAGCTCATAATTCAGTTCTGAGAGGGATCCTCCGTCGTTCTGTTATTTTGTAAATCAACCAAGCAAAATGGCTTTTCCTATGCTATCATTTTGGATAGATGGTTAGAAACCACTTTGATTACATAAACCAATGTTCTAGTGTTAGAAGCACTTGGGCATGTGACTGAAACAGGGCCCAAAATGTTCACTCCCTGCCAACCCAATACCCTCACGGTCACCACCAAAACCCTGACCTTTTGGGAAGCTCACTCTTAGTTCCTTCAGAGAGTTAATGAACTTAGACATTGCTACTTCCCAGCAAGATCCTAATATGTAATAGACTGGTTTTGTTTTTGTTGCTTTGCTATTGTTTTTCTTTTATAACATCAAAATCTAGCGAGGTCTCAAATAAAATACCTCAATACCCTTTACTGATAATACTCAAGAAATTTTCAGACTATGATCTTTGGGGAAGTCGACATAGACTACAAAAAGGTGATAAGAAGACTTATACATCATTCACTGACAGCTGGACTTCAGACCAGTCACCAAGCCTGAGTGAAACTCAGCTTCCTCATCAGTCAAATGACATCTATCCTACCTCGCATGGGAAGAATCGCCATGAAACAGTGTCAGTTACATACTATGATAGGGAAAGAAATGTCCAGAGCCCAGGGACAGAGAAACTGAGGCAGAGCTCCATGTCAACAAACACACAGGAAGCTGAGTCCCAAACCCAGAACTTCTCGTCTCTACTCTAGGTCTCTACTCACCAGATCAAAAACGCCTCACTCAGAAAATACACAACATAAGTAACTTCACTTCCAAAGGCTAAGGGAAATTGCCTATGAAAAAGTACCTAATACACTGTTCTGCTCAAACTTTAAGTACATGTTCAAGATCATATTCATCAGATGTAACAGAAGGCATATTGGGATAAAATTAATTAATTTTATTCCACCATAAAGTGAGAACCTCGAAACAGCCTTTAGTTCTCTCCCCAAGTAATGATCTTGTGTTCCCTCCAGTGCTATATACAGGCAATATCTGGCTGCAGCCCATTAGGTGCACAGAGAGATGCAAGGTAAGCAGGAAGACTTAAAGGGATACTATTGATGTGAACATCATATTTTTTATTAAATCCTTCTCTCTAAAATACCAGTAGTGAATTGGATTACTAACTTTAAAGTACCCTTACAAAATTAAATGCATATTTCTAATTTCCAGTATTATAGTGATAATAGCATCTGACCTCTATGTAGTTTCAGTAACAGAAATAAAGGATTAGATGGTTCTAGATAGGTAAAAAGCATTAGATTGACAACAGTTACTTTTTTATCAATAGCTCCTCTCAGGGGGTTTGAATATTGTAATGAATTTTAAAAGTTCTACATTTACATCTGTCTTTGGGCGAGGACTCAGAAAATTAGGTGGCATTTCTGGAGCATTTAGGGTGGTACTTGAGCGAGCTGAGGAGGAAGGAAACTGGTCAGATCATTTTCAACTTGATGACTCTAATTTCTTTGTATTTTAAAATGTGAGTAGTGATACTTATTCAACAAAAGCAATGGCAAGAAAGATAGGTGTGTTGACTGCTCACACACCTCCAATTCCTGAGGCCACAAAAAAAAGAGATGCTCTTTAGACATTGGAAGGGAATGTCTAGAAATGATGGTTAAAGAAGATGAGTTATCTCCAATATTCTTTCCAGAATCTTTTTTTTTTTTTTCCAGTGATGTTCTTCCCAGAATCTTAGCAGAAATTCTCTCCTATAGAATCTAATTGCTTACTTTTCGGTCATTGGTTACCTTTTAAAGCTATCATCATTACAAATACCCTATCTTCAGCTGGCACTGAGAAACAGCAAAGTACACACGCCCACACACATAAATATACTGCTTAACTAAAGACTATGCAAGAGACAGTATAAGCAAGGGTAATGAGTGTAGGTTCTCAAATCAGGCCAGGGATCAAAACGTGGCTCCCTAAT